CCTACTCATCCAAGCTGAATAATTCCAAAACAAATCTATATGTTTGAAATAAAGAGTTGTGGTAGATATTTAGGTTAACAGCCTATCTTAACATGAAAATTCAAATGGGAAATGATTTTTGAATGAGTTATGCAATTTATGTTAATTTGAATTCAAGTATCATCAATTGAATATATGTGCTTATATATGATCTTCAAATTTACAAGAAACAGTTACAAATTTTAAAACATATACATCCATCAATTTTTTAAAAAGGAGAAAATGTATAAATATATATATAAACATATATATATGTATATGTATGTGTGTGTGTATATATATATATATACATATATATATATATATATCTGATTTAGCACATGTGGAAAAGATGATACCTTCACGAACATTGAGAACCAACAAGAATCTGACCTGGGCAAGGCTCAGGAATTTAACAGCTGGCTCTAAATGCAAGTCTTTAGAAGAAGCAGTTTGATCCCTAAAAGCCTGGAGCCTTCGTATCCAGGCAACTTCCTCAACCTAATAATGAGGAAAAACAGGACGTTATTCATCTGGAGATATTTAAGTGGAAAGATTCTGTACTTTGGATATCAGGACAAAGTTGAGAGTAAAGTGAGGTTTAGTTCTCCTATTAGCCTGTTTTCATGCTGGTGTTAAAGACGTAAGACATACCGGAGACTGGGCAATTTATAAAAGAAAGAGGCTTAATGGACTTACAGTTCCAATTGGCTGGGAAGACCCCACAGTCATGGCAGAAAGCAAAAAGGCACATCTCACATGGCAGCAGACAAGAGAATGAGAGCCAAACAAAAGGGGTTTCCCCTTATAAAACCATCAGACTTCGTGAGACTTACTCACTACTACAAGCACACTATGGGGGAATCACCCCATGATTCAGTTATCTTTCACTTGGTCCCTCCCACAACATGAGGAAATTATGGGAGCTATAATTCAAGATGAGATTTGAGTGGGGAAACAGCCAAACCATATTAGTTCTCAATATAGCAAATTAAGGCAGAAGTCTCCATATTTACTTTTAACCCACTGCCCCAACCAAGAGTATTAGAGAGTCTAAGAGAAAACATTTATAGATTCCTTCATTTAGGAAAAGGCCTAACAATACTAAGTCTCTGATATCACACTACATTGAGGACTGTTAGTAGACAAACCTTGTTTATTCACCAACTGTTCAAAATCACCTTTTCAGTACCTTCCTTAGATATAAATGGCACATAATAATCAGCATAGATCTGAGGTGAGCCAGAGATATGAAAAATGAGTCCAACAAATGAAAAGGCAAAGAGCATGGGAGCAAACAGATAAACAAAGAGCAATTTCAAGGAAACAGGGAATGTGTAGGGAGTCGCAGAACTTCAAAATGCCTATTAATCTTCGGAGAACCAAGACATGACTGTATACAAATGTTACCAAAAAATTAAAACATCAAAAACACTGCAGGAAAAGAAATTTAGACAATAAGAAAGAACTCCTGGAGACTATAACAGAAGGGCAAAAATTCAGAAACAACCACCATCACCAGTACAACAGAACAAGAGAAAAATGGAGGACAGACTTGGAGATATGCTTCAGAACGTTAGAAAAATAACAGTAAAAGTGAGATGGATACCTAGAAAGAAAAAAGACTAAAAAAAAAATTCATAAGTTTGAATATTCGACTAATACAGAAGTGGACAAGAATAAAAATAAGAATGGGAAGAATCACCAAATAGATAATATAAGGGCATTTCCTTGAACTGAAGAATAAGATATGTAGTTTTTCAAAAGCCACTCTGGGAACTTAGCACAATAAATTAAAGGAGATCAACACAAAAACATATTTTTAATAAAACTTCAGTATTATAGAAGGTAAAATAAGACTATAATCTTACAAAGAAAAAAAGATTCAAAATGAGAATAACATCTGAATTCTTTAATAGTATTGCAATTGAAGTTAATGGAACAATGCCTTGTTAATAAATGAGGAAAAATGACTTTCAACCTAGAATTCTACATCAGTACAAACTGTCATTCAAGGATAAGACATAATGTTTCAAAAAGGTTTCAAAAGATCAGCAAAGTCTCCTACTGACCAAGACAACCTTAGTAATTCCCTTGGCTACACTAAATTTAAGACCATCTTCCTTACTCCAGATCCCTGATCTCTCTTCTGTTAGAGCATTTACTTTAGAATAGTTGCGATTATAAATTATTTCTCTGCCCCTTTGAGGTGTCAATTTTCTTTCTTTCTTTCTTTCTTTTTTGAGATGGAGTTTCACTCTTATTACCCAGGCTGGAGTGCAATGGGGCGATCTCGGCTCACCGCAACCTCCACCTCCTGGGTTCAGGCAATTCTCCTGCCTCAGCCTCCTGAATAGCTGGGATTACAGGCACGTGCCACCATCCCTAGCTAATTTTTTTTTTTTTTTTTGTATTTTTAGTAGAGACAGGGTTTCACCATGTTGACCAGGATGGTCTCGACCTCTTGACCTCGTGGTCCACCCGCCTCGGCCTCCCTAAGTGCTGGGATTACAGGCTTGAGCCACCGCGCCCGGCCCGAGGTGTCAATTTTCTAAAAAGACTTGGCAGTTTTACAGCCCAGGAATCTCTTTCTCAAGGACCTGGGAGCCATCCCTTTGAAGTGTAATCATCAAGGAAGATAGAGCCCCTATCTCCCAGTTTTCCTGGAAGGATAAGAGACTAACTTTAGCAGGTGTCTTCCACCAAATTGTAAAACCATCTCCTGTCATAAAATATGAGGAGTTTATTTTCATTTGAATAAAGCCAATTAACAAGCGCAGATGGCCTGTGATCCAGATCCACCCACTCCAGTTCTTAAAAACTCCCGAGCCCCTTGCTTCAGTAGATAGAAGCTCAGACTGTGTTTTGCCCTTGTTCCTGTATTACAAGAGCCTTTAATTATTTCTTGCCTGTTTAAATTTGTCCAGTTAAATTTTTGCTTTAACACAACTATAGGTTGTGCTTTAAAAGGTGTAAGAGATAGGTTCCAAGGTAGGATTATGTAACAGGAAAGTGATGAATAGGATCTCCAAGCTGATCATATGAGAAATCCTGAAGAGCTGTCAGAGGTTGAGAGCATCAGAATACATTGGAAGAGAAAGATGATATCTTAGTCAGCTCAGGCTGCTGTAACAAAATAACCACAGACTGTGCTGCTTAAATAATAGGTAATTGTTTCTTACAGCTCTAGAGACTGGGAAGTTCAGGATCAGGGTACTGTAGGTTCGTTGTGAGAACCTGCATTCTGGCCGGTAGGCAGCCACCTTCCTGCAGTGTGTTCACGTGGGCTTCCCTTGGTGCATGCGCATAGAGAGAGAGATAGCTCTCTGTCTTCCTCTTCTAATAAGATTAATAATCCCATCAAGAGCATCCCACCCTCTATTTTAAACCTAGTTACCTCTCAAAGGCTGCACTCCAATACCATCACATTGGGGGCCAGAACTTCAATGTACGAATGTGGGAAAACAAAATAACACACATAAAGTTCGAGAAGAAATATCGGAGAAATGAAACTAGTAAATTTGCGGATAGCTTTCGTCATATGGAGACATACAATTCTATCAGAGAATTTTGTCTTGAATCTGTGTTAGAATATAATCATAATTTAACCAATGAAGTATCTCAACAATTATTAACTCCAGTGAAAATAATAAATTACATAAGAAAGGGAAGAAAAACATGACACCCTACTTGTCTCACTTTTGAATTATATTTACACAGTCGACATATTATAAATCTTAAATAAATGTGGATAGGACCAATATTACCATACAATTATGGTAGAAGGAAGGGGAGTAGAGAATGTACCAGAGAGTAATTAAGCACAGAAAAGCAAAATCTTCAACTGCCTTATTAGGAGTACAAAGTTGTGTCTAAAGCTTAAATAGATAAATACTGCAAGCAATGGTTCAAACAGTTGAATAAATTGTTTGGACTTGGGGTAAAATGGGTAAGGCTAGAAAAGAGTTGTTTTTCCTTGTAGTCTTAAAATACTATCCAATTTTTTAAAAGGCAAATACGTAAAATTGAAATATAATAGAAGCCGAGTCTATAAGAGAAAGAAACATATATTCTTGCTGAAAATGAACATGAAGAAAAAAATGATAAGGGACAAGGGGAGGGAGCAGAAGGAAGAAAAAGAAAAGAAAGGAAAACTTGCATTTTTCATACCTAATCATCTTTCATGGGCTATTATCTCTGAATAAACTTGTGAATGATCATTGGCCTTAATGAATATTGTATTAGCGAAGAGCAACTTGACTAAAACGCGAATCAGAACCTCAACAAACTACACTGACTTATGAATCACAGCTAAATCTGAACTCCTTAGCATTTCGTGATTTACAGTCTTCTACCACTACCACCAACTACGATAGTTCTTATTCTGCTTTTTTTTTTTTTTTTTTTTTTTAGACTGAGTCTCGCCTGTCACCCAGGATGTACTACAGTGGCACAATCTCAGCTCACTGCAAACTTTGCCTCCCGGGTTCAAGCACTTTTCCTGCCTCAGCCTCCTGAGTAGCTGGGATTACAGGTGTGTGCCATCACACCTGGCTAATTTTTGTATTTTTAGTAGAGACGGGCTTTCACCATTTTGGCCAGACTGGTTTTGAACTCCTGACCTTAACTGATCTGCCCACCTCATCCTCCCAAAGTGCTGGGATTACAGGTGTGGGCCACCCTGCCTGGCCCTATAGTTCTGATTAAGTATATTGCAGAATTACTATGAGGTCTTCAACATTGCTCTGGACTCATTTACCTATCAACACTTTTTGTCCCAAATGAGATCTTTTAAAAATTCACCATCCTATTTAAGTCCATTAACCCCCTCCATGCCATCTTTATTCTCAGCAATTAACCTTACATTTTACCTTACAGAGAAATTAGACAAGATCAGATCTCATCTCTTTCTCATTCTTAAATGCTATATCTTCAAATATATCCTAATTTTCACCTATACATTCTCCTTTCTCTCTTTGCAGGAGTGTTTGAAAACCGGAATTTTTGCTTCACTTCGTGGTGATCTCTGTGAAGCTTCTGGCTAAAGTAGTGAGTACCAAGACCAGTTCAACTCTGTTGATTGTGTGAAACCTGCTAGTGTCCGGCAACATGTAATGAAACACTTCTAGCCCAGCTGTTAGAAAAGCTATTAGAAATATTTCTATAGGTATTTATATTATTTAAACAACTTCCCATGTTGTAAATGTTCTCCAATTCATGCAGTCCAATATCATCCTTCACCTCCACTATGAAGTGATGCTGCCAAAGAGAAAAATGGGACAGATTTTTATTTTGCACATAAAGATACTATATTCTTGAGGATACCTGCCATCTTTCATATATATTGCCAGCAAATCTTGGAGGTGGCTTAGTTCACAAATTATTTTGGTATCAGGGATACTTTATTAGTTCATAATCATTCCTTGCAACAAATCCATTTTCTGGATCTTATCCCTTTAATTTTTATGGATCTCACTCAGGTTTGTTTTTAATCTGTTCATCTTCACTGCTCTTTTCTCTTAACATGCATATATGCTCATGTTTCTCCCAAGATAAAACATAGCATTTCCATACTTTCTGCTAGAAATTTTCCTTTCATCAATAAATCCTGCATATTTTACCTCATTAATACATCTTCATTCTCTCCTCTCACCCATATCCTCATCACTACTGGCCCTTCCTACTAATCATTGTAGTTGCTGCATTAATCTCTGATTATTTTCCTGATCAGTCATTTTCCTCCAGCTCTATTTCCCAAATATCTCTCCTTTGAGCTCAAACCCACAGGTCCAATTGTTCATTAGTACATAATCACTGAAACTCACGATGTCCAATCCTGAAATCAGTTCTCCCTCTTATTTGTGTTCTTTCTTTCTGCCCTAAATCACTGCAAATACTTGTTCCAAAAGATTTCCTGTTACCACTGTACATTGTTGTCTAAACAGCTTTCTGCTTATTTTTATTTTATTTCCTCCTATACTCTCTACACAGTCACATTCTCTTTAACAGTCATCAGATTGTAAAAATTCTATTTGGAAAATATCTCACAAATCTAGTCACATTCCTCAATTCCCACTGGCATTCTCCTTATTTAGATAATGATTATTTCCATCTGGATTTCCAAAACAACCACATGGCTGATATTTCTGCCATCATATTTGATCCTCATCTGCCCAATCTCCTCAGAAGAATATATTTGTAGTGATTTTTATAAATATACATGATTCTATGCTCTCCTGGTTCAAGACTATCGTTTACTCCCTGTTGCCCTAAGAGTAAAGTTCTAACATCCTTAACTTGGCTTTTAAGCGCCTTAATATCCAGTTCCCATATTCCTCATTAGCTTAGTCTCTTGATCTTCCACTTCAATATTTCTTCTTAAAACAATTATTTTTGTTATGCAGGTACAAAGTATTCTTCCTCTCTTCTAGAACTTTGCTCACCTTTCATTTTCCTTGAAATACTCTCTTGCTTTGCAAATTATTATCTTCAACATTCCTTAGGTTTGAGTTAGAAAATCTAACTACATTAAGGAGGGTGTCGATGTTAATAATATGTAATTTTAACTTTAACTATGTTAAAATATTCATTTTTGTAGGCAAAACACAATATACATATCTTTTAAAATTTAGTAAATTTTATGCATATTCTTCATTTCTCTTCAGTTCTACAGACACTTGTCATTTGTACTTTTTTTTTCCTCATCCACTTTTCAGCTTATTTAAAACTCTTGAATATGCTTTTGAAATGCAACTCCATGTATAAGCTAAGCAATTCATTGTTAGATAAGCTACTCATAATTGACTTAATCTTATCACAAATTCTAGCTTAAAATAATATCAAAAGGAACTCCTCAAAATTATTACTTTTGCAGCAGTGTGAACTTTTGCACAAAGGGACCGACCCATTTAATGCTGATGGATTTTATACAATTGTTTTAATGAGAAAACATATACTTACATATAGCTTGTTTGCTGAACATTCAAAACGCAGTATGAATGAATTTTTAAATTTAAATCAAAAACCATACTTTGTTTTTCTTTAAAGCATACTCGTTTCATTGATTTCTACTTTTATTAATGAATTGTTTTTCTCTACAACTAGCTAAGACTGCATCAAAAGTATACATTGTTCTGACATCACATTTCCCTGGTTTTATATACAATGTCACACAAAGCCTTGTTTTTTGTTCCTCTCTATCGTCTTCCATTTCCTTACTATGCCTACTGCTGTGAGGAATAGTCAGCTCACAGCCTGATTCAGTAAGTCTCAGCAACATGAAGCAACATATTCAAGTTTGGATTTGGGGCATATTTATGTAATTTCTCTACCTGAAATATTGTGATATACCTGCTGCTAAAATTAGAACATTCTTTGAAGAGAAGTAATACTTTAGTGGGAAAAAAATAACCAGAAATCACTGTTTTAATTTTCAGTTATTAAACATTGAATGATTCTTTTTTACATTTCCCCTAAGTCTACATTTTAAAAGATATTTTAAACTTTTATCATACTACAATATATTTTGTAGAAAGCAGTTCTAAAATATAAAATACTTGAATTCTGGCAAGATCAGCTTACTGCTTCTCCAGTTAAGGAAAAACATAGGTAGAAGAATGTATATAAATATTCTTATGTTTCATAGATTGGAAATAATCAATAATTACCAATAACTACCAGACAATATGATACATTGTTTAGTTTAAAAATAATAAATTTTTATTTATAGCTAAATTATTTATAGCTACAACTGATTGATCATTTCCTAGAATAATTTGATTTTGCCAATAATGAGGGCAAGGTATTTTATTGATACTACATGGGCTTCTTTGCAGCTGATCTTCTCTGCCTACTTAAAATCCATAGAATTTTGTGGGTTCAATTTTTAAGTCTCTAACAATTATTTTAGTCTAGGTCTATGGTTAGTTTGTCCATATAATTTCTCAAACAGAGACTAAAAATCTGTAAAATTAAAATCTCTTTCTGAGAGATTATATGGACAAACTATCTGTCAATTACTTTCTCATCTATTTGATTTCAGTGATACTCTTGACAACAGACACACTAAAAACTATGAGCTGAAAAAATGAGAAATCAAGAAGTACTAAGATTATTGCTAAATTTAATTGGGGTAACTTAAGCCTACCATGCTTCCACAAGAAAGGAATGCCTTTTTTTTTTCTCTTTTCCCTAAACTATATTTTTCCAACTGAAGGAATTTTCTGGGTACATTATAGCCATTGAAAAGTTTTAAAATGGGTGTTATAACTATATCCTAATATTGACCCTTAAACCAGCATTTTATGTGGCCTCTTAAGAAATTATTATTCAACTGTTTTGTTAGTTTTGTATATTACATTATAAGTGGAGATGAGTACCACCTAAACTTCCAGCTCAGAAAGCCATCCAACTCTGTATTCTCTCTACTTTCTTTAAAGTCTGCTTGCAAAACAGTCTGTTCTTTTCTGAGCTCATCTCTCTTACATTATCCTAGTAAGTTCAACCAACAACAAAAAACCTAACATTGTTTTAAAACCTTTTAAAGATAAAACTTATTAGGTACAATATTTCTCTCTTAAGTTATCATAGATAATATATTTCTAAATATTTTCGCCACTGCATGATGTGTGTTACTATTCTTCCAGCCTCTAATAAGAATTTTCTTGCCACCAAATACTTAGCCTCAGACCCAGTGTCATATATTTTATTTAGGTTGTCTGTTAAGGGAGCATCTCAACCCAGTACTAATTTGTCTAATAGTCATCATTGTCATAATTATTCTGTGGAAAACAGCAACTTGGAAATCTTAGTGTCTGAAAACAATGATGTCTATGTCTTCTTGTTCTTGAGATGTGGTACTGCATATGTCACCAGAGGGGCTCTTTTTCAGACTAATAGAGATTCCATTCTAACCCATTAGCAGAGTCATAAGAAAAATGAGAGAGCATGGTAAATGAAGTGTTAACTCTGAAAACTTAAGCCTCAAATCACACAGCACACTTTTTTGCTCTCATTTTATTGAGCAAAGCAAGTAACATAATGTGCTGGGTTACATAGTATCTGCCCAAAATTTATGCCCACCTGGCACATCAGAATGTGTGACCTTATTTGAAAATAGGGCTTTTCCAGATGGAATTAGCTAAGATGAGGTCATATTGGATTAGAGTATCCCCTAAATCCAATGACTGACATTCTTACAAATAGGCTAAATGAAGACACACAGACATAGACATGAACAGAAGGAGGCTATGTGAAAACATGAGCAGACAGCGTACTGATGCAATTACAAGCCCAGGAACACCAAGGATTGCCAGCAGCGAAGAGAAGGTGAGAGAAAGGCATGGGACAGTTTCTCCTTCAGAGTCTCTAGAAAGGGCAAAACCCAATGACTCAATGATTTCAGACTTCTGGCCTCCTAAACTGTGAGAGAATAAATTTATGATGATTTTAGATACCCAGTTTATGGTAATTCATGGTGGCAGCCCTAGGTAATTAATACACATGGGATACTTTAATTTGAGAGGTTGCAGATGTATAATCTTCCTATATGTAGGACATTGAATATAACACAAGTTCTAAACATAGATTATTTCCATACAAATGTGACTACAACTACAAGAATTTTAAAACTAGGTTTTCAAATTTAGGCATTTATTTTGAAGTGATGGTCTTAATACTTCTTGGTCACTTATTACAGAAAAAAACTGAATTAAGCCCTGTTGATCCAAAGTGATGGTCTATTAGACATAAATAAATGGAATTCACAAAGCAAAATGACAAAATAGTTTTGTTTTTGTAGTTTTTATTTTTTTTAACATAGCAAAATAAATGCCTTTTTTTGTTTGGGGTGCCATAACAAAATGTTTTCGACCAGGTGGCCTATAAACAACAAAAATGTATTTCTCACACTTTTAGAAGCTGTGAAGTTGAAGATCAAGATGCCAACTAATATGGTATCTAGTGAGGGCCCACTTCCTCATAGATGGCTCATTCCTCACAGGGTGGAAGGAGCAAGGGAACTCTCTGTGGTTTTTTTTTTTTTTGATAAG